AAAAAATGTAAACAAACATAAAGAACTCATGTTTAACTATTTTATTATTAGCAGTAACAGAAAATATAAATAGAGTAGTAGGCAAACAGAAAACGTATATGTTTGCAATGGAAAATACAAAAATGTCAATCTTCAATTACAAAACTTCCTTTAGAGAAAGTTCTAAGTGCATGTGGTCTCATCACAAGGGAAATTCCCTTGGAAGTCCTTATTCAAGACTAACACTTTAACATAAGATTAACTAAGGACACAGCAGAAAGGCAACGTACAGTTCACCATCACTGAAAGCTGGAGTCGATTGAAGGAAGTTGATCTTGTAAAAAGTTTTCACCTGTTTTCACCAATCCAAGAAAGAGCACTAAGGAAGTAGCATCGGGGGAAAAAATGAAATGTTAAAGTCATTATTAAAATAGTGTGTTACTTTTTATGTAAGCCTACAGACCGTGACAGTTAACACGTGGTCATTCTCCTTCGCATGACCTCTTCATAATGATTATGTAGGTAATTCGGGTAACTGCGTATTATAATGTAGACTAGACCACAACCCCCGTCCCGCGAGATCGGCTTCACGAGTTACACAATTTCAACTGGCATAAAATAACTCAGGGCTAATTTTTAAATAGTTGAAAGGGAAATTACAATAAAATATTGCGTTCGAATTTCGCAGTGCCACGCTTTGAGTCAATAATATGGTATGCGTTACGTCATCAAAGAACTCTCAACTGCATGTACGCACAGTCTCAGTGATTTTCGCCTCGTAGCATTCAAGTGAGACACGTCGTTTAAATTTCAAACACGCAGACATAAGATGAAGTATGATTTTGAGCCATGCAGGGGATGCGCATCAGCTCTATTGAGGCCACCCGACCCGCGGATCGGGCGTGGAGCTCGGTCCGCAATAATTTTCTTGATGGGTGTAAGCGAGTAAGCTATCAGAGGGTCTATTTCTCCAGCCGCTTACAGTGGCTGGCGGAACGTAGTGACCTATGGAGCACAAAACAGGCTAGCACGATTGTGACGTCATGGAATAGCCGCAAGAGTTAGCAGGGCCAGCAGAGTCGCTTAGAAAAGGGACGAACCAAGAGACTTCGAGTTCTGAAGTTTAGAGCCCTAAGCGGGCTGCGGGCCGATCCTATCGGCACGACACAACCCGCGGATGGAGTCGGCAAAGCTCGGTCCCGTAATCGAGTCTCGGGTCGAGTAGGGTCACGATTCGAACCGGGCCGATTGAGTCGAGTTCGAAGAAGTTGACCCGTGCATACCTGCGGCGGACAGACGGAGGACGTTGGCTATTACTTCGGTATCACATAGATGACACCCGCGTTCTGCAGGATATGCTTCGCGGGTGACAATTCGGGTTGGGATGACTTCCAAGGTGGACTACCTGCAGAATGTTGCAAGAGATATATCACATGAAGATACTGTATGATTAGATTACATTGATACATTTTTCAGCCGAGAGAGTTAAGGTGTGAGTATGTCATATTAATATGTTAATATATTGGTTACGTTTGACGTGGGCATTCTGAAGCAATGATGTGAACCACTCGGCCCAGGCCAATGCTTCTGTCAGCTGTGTTATGTTCGCAGGCATGCGCACTGTATTCTATGATAGTCAGGTATTCGTAAGCCCTTCTGGTCTAGTCTTCGGTGCTTTGGTGAGACCTTTCATGGCACTAGCACGGTTAGTGGACTTCAAGGATTTTTTCCCATTTCGGTGTCAAAGGCCAAAGAGTGGGAAAGCCAACCTATTTTGGGGAATAATGGGTCAGTTGGGTAAGGAAAGGGTTCCGGCCTTCGGTCGCGATTATGTTAAAAACAACTTACCCATCGTCCCCCAAATTAGGTACACTTTCTCGCTCATTTCGGCCAAACATAAAGACTGCAGCTCGCTTGATCTGTGTTCATCCTATCTTCTCTGAGGTTATTTTTTTGGAATTATAGTGAAAAACCATAATCATTGGTGAAATAGACTGAGTGTCTAGCATCCAGATGATTGAGTTATTCTTTAGAGGAATACAGGGCATAAGACTCTCCTTTCAATGAAAACGGACACTCTCACCATCCGTTCAACGCGGTTACCCCCGTGTTGAACGCGCTTGCGCACGCCACTCCATCCAAGCTCAACCTACAACCCACTTTTCTTAGCATTAAAATTACTGCTTCTGGTTTTTTTTTGTCATAATTCTCAGATTAAATATGCACCAACGCAATCGTCTCAACAAGAGCTTGCGATTGACATATCACAGGTACCATTTCGGAAATCTTTTCATTCAGGATAGTTTTTAAATAGCAGCAAGAGAAATTCAAATAATAATCAGATGTAATGAAAGCAATGAATCTCTATTCAAGAGACTGAGTAGTCTGATCCAAGAGAGAGCACTAAAGAAGTAGCTTCGGGAAAAAAAAGTTTATTACCATTTAATTAATAAATCAATAAACATGTTATATTTTTGTGCAAGCCTACAGACCGTGACAATTAATGAGACCATTCTCACCTTCCTACGACCTCTCCTTCATAATTACGTGATTCGGTTAACTGCTTAATATCTATGTAGCTTCCTCCATTTGGTGTACATCCCCTCGGAATAGTGAGAGGGGGGGGGGGTGGATCCCACAAATATTTTTCCCAATAGTGGTCTTAACAATGGCGTTACAAAAGGTACTGTGTTTTCAGTATTTCCGTTTCCCTGAAACTTGAGCGATTTTTCGAGGAGAAGGGGGCCAAACGTTCCACCCACCAGCCCCCCCCTCCAAAGAAAAAACTAAGAATTGATTCCTTCTTTCTTCTGCAAGAGGTACTGCGTAAAATGACAGAGCCTTCTCGAGGCATAAGTTACTCACCCCTCACAGCTCGGATGTTTTAATGGTAGTCGTATACACAAAACGACCAGCGGATGTCTATATGACAGGGATTTTGTCCGATGAACTCCTCCTAAGTTTCTCATCTGATTTCCCCCAACAATACCTCATTCGATTTGTAATTTCCTGCAGATGGTCCAACTCATGAAACAAATTTTTTTTGAGTTGACCTTTGACCTGACTCATATGATCTTCCGCATTAATTTCTGGCCAGAGAAACCATTCCAAAGCCCTCGGACACTTTGCTATAATTTTTTTTCACGTCTAAAAACTGTCGAACTTTCATCCTGCTGCGGACAATCTGCGATAAAATTGCACTGGCGCCATCTCTGTACGGATTAAATAACTACATTGAGATGATTCGCCAAGACCTATTTCAGAAGCCAGTTGTTGGCCTTGATATCCACATTTCCAAACGATCGGCGGAAATGTGAAATTCATCAAGACGGCCAACGCAGCGGCCGCAGGATGTTAGTTATCTTGTAAGCACCAGATTCAGCACTTTCTATAAGCACTTTCCAACATAACGCATAGTTCATGTGACTGTTTCTTATAGAATGAAATTCAGCATTAAAAATATTTTGATAACGAATTGTATCACTCCGTTGTGATTCCATCTCTTGGGGCGAGAAACTTATGCCCACACTCAGTATCGTGTTGATACCCAAAAGGGCCTTCAGGGACCCTATTTCTCCTTATCACGTGGATGCCGTAGTGATGTTATTTTTGGTAACTTCAAGCGAATTAGGCGGCGCATTTCGAATTGTCATCGACTCTCCAGACGCCGGAAGTCCCTAAATGTAACATCGGAATAGTCCTGCTATAGGACGGGGGAACGATAAGTAAGAAAAATGTTTGTTTGTATTTCACAATTGCACAAAATATGGAAATTGGACCACACTTGGCTAGAAATATTATGCACCTGACGAGGTCGTTACTGTTGCAGGACCACTACCGTAATATCATTTGCAGTACTTTGAGGATGGCAGCACTTCGGAAAAAAACAGGGCTTGATGATAAGATTTTTGAACTTGGAAGAGGTGAAAGGAACCAAAATTGGTGCCTGTAAGTTGAGGCAATACGATGGCAGGTGCATGACGCAGAGTGTTGCTTATGAGATGTTTGAACAATTGAAGAAAGGTCGAACAACTGTCGCGAGCAAACAACGTGCAGGCTGGCCTGTGAAAGCGTCAACAGATGCAGTCACTGCGCACGTTGAAGGACTAGTTTTTGAGGATAGCCGAGCAGGAATGAAAGCTATAGTGCATTGTGTGGGTGTTAGCCATGGCCCTGGCACTCCATGAATCGTTACTTGTTCATGAACGCTGTTTGTTGCTATCCAACAGAGTAATTCCTCAGGACGATACAATGGAGCCCTACAGAGCACAAGTAACAATTGCAACTTTTTTGGCTTTGAGCCGGACTGTTCATAGCAATCCCCAGTACAGCGCAGTCCTGGCATAGTCGGACTTCCATCTACTCCATGCTACAGAAGATCACGTCAGATGTAGGCGATTCCATTATGACGATGACGGTGCCATCGGTTGTAGGCGCCATTCAACCCAAAACCTTGTTCGAATTAGGGATTCCCAAACTTGGGACTCGTTGGGATAAGTGCATGGAACTTGGGTGAGACAATGTTTAAAAACAATAAAATATTCATATCCGTGAGTGTTCTTTTCTTTGAATGAAAATTTATATACCTTAGTAATTGATTCACCCTCGTATATTTAAATTTCCTTTTAATATGCATTCCTAAGGAAATAATTTGACATATTGATGCAAAGTATACATCCTTCTGAGCACTTAAATATGAATTTTGAGCAGAATGAAATGAAATTTAATTGGCTCTGCTGAAATTTTACTTGAACTAGAGCTAGAATGACATGCCATCAGTTGATTTTCTACATCCCACATCATTATTAAGAACTTAGAATGCATGATGTGCGCTCGTTTCAACAGATCCGGTTTATACCTGGAATGTAAGGATCCCCAAGGAATTGCATCGGAAGTCTCGTGGAGATTACGTCATTCTTGGAGGACATGGGCCTTTGGCACAAGTTCATTATGACATTGGAAAGGATGAAGCAGGACGTGAGTCGTGAGGGTCAAAATAAAGAATTTCAAGTATTTTCTTGTCAGCTTTTTCTTTTTAGTTGCATTCATGTTTTTAATTTATTAACCTTTCTCTTTCCTCATAATTATTATTTATGGAATATGTTCTTGTTCTCACTGTGAATGAGAGACTTCAAAGTCCTCTCGTTTTTTTTAAAGTTACGTTCCGGAATCCGCGTTTCTGCTTGTCTAACTCAGAAAACAATTAAAATAGGAATATAATTGAGTTTCTGGACATGTTAAGGAGCAGATGGGATAGTTCGAATGGTGAAGGAACTTCATTATTTTAAAATTGAACTGATTATAATGTATATGAAAATCTAAGAAATGAAGCTATTCCCTCTTGGCGCCTCACTTAAAAGAAAAGTACTGGAAAAAGTCTAATGTAAGGCATACAATACATATTGCCATCGGTGAAAGACACGTTCATTTCCCAGACCCGCTTCCTCTGCTTACTACTGATGTGTTCTCGAGGGACCGCATTGGATGTGGATATCACAGGGAAAATGTTCACGCAACTCGTTGATACGAATGCAACGATCCAAAATCCCCTCCTCACCAGCACCGGCGTGGATGTCTTCACTTGTGCCGATTCATGCACTAGGTAAAGTTTCATCAAATGAATATCACTGTTCGTAAAACATAATATTTTCTTTTCTTCATTTGCTATCGAAGGAATCCCCAATGCAAGCTGTTTTCCTTGGAGACGAGACCCACCACTACCACCTGTCAATTGGGAGGCAATGCGTCCATTCTTCAGGCTAATCCCGCTGGAATGTCCTCTACCATTTATTATGATGGTAAACATCTCAGGCAAAATCATTTCGCTGTTCATGCGGATGAATAAGTTCTTTATATTTCATTCCCCATTTTCATGGCTCTGATCGTCGAGAATATCCTGTTATGAATATTTGAATAGTCGTATGTCAATCATTGCCAAATGCAGATTTTCCAAAGTTTAATCTAAAGATTCCGGAAAGAAATTTCCGAGGCTCCTGTCTACGAAATGTACATCGAGGATTTCCAGAAACGACATCGTAGTTGTCTCATCTGCGATAGGATACATTTAGATCAATCCACACCGGCAGTTCCCGATACATACTCTCATTGTACCTTGCAGACGCACTCTTCCCAAAAGACTACACCTTCGCCATGATCACCGATCAGATCCACTTCATCAAGTTCCCTAATGTGATCCAGAACTACACCACGGCGCGAACGACTTGCAAGGCGGACGGCATGGGACGACTGATCATGGACGACAAGGGTCAAGCGTGGCACAACTGGATCTGGCAGTACGTCTACCCTAAGATGGGTGGGACGAATGGAATGTGGTTAGGAATTGATGACTCGCAGCAGGAAGGGGCCTGGAAATGGAATGACGGTGAGAACATACCAAGAAATCCGATCGATGGAGCCATGTGTCCTAAGTCTCACGATGGATTTCGGCTAGTTAGCAGAATCTCGGAACAATAACCATGATAAGCTAAGAAACGTGCTGAAGCCTGTGTCGAACTTCCTATGTAGCAACGATGAGATCAAGTTACTTTGAAACCCCTTTCGCGACCACCCCTTTGAGCAAATCAGCGATCTAAATCAGCGGTGCATAAACTCTTCAAGTCGAGACCACCTAACCTAAACCCTAACCCCATCACTGGTTCCTTTTCATCAGAAACTGGCTGTTATTATGGGTAAGTTGGCATGGGAAAGGAAACACGAATATATGGCTTTTGTAGAAAATCGTTAATTTTTTTAAAATCACTGGTATTGAGAATAATACAATGGGCACAAAACAAACGCCAACTCAGGATACAGAATTAACTAAATTTTAAGTGTTTTCTTGATTTCTTCCTTTTTATTTAAATTTTAACCCTAAATCCTCTTTATTTGGCGAAAAAGGTAATGTGAAGACCAAAGCTCACGCTTCCTATAGTTGGGAAGCTTGGAGTCTAACGAGTGACGACGAGATTTACTAGCAAAGAAACACGTTGCCCTAAAAGTAGGGCATTCCAATTGGATAAATTAGTTTATATCAGATGACACCAGGCACCACCACCACCCCGTGGTCGGTGTTTGGTAACACGCGCGCGCTCACATGACAGACGCTTGCGTTCAGCGCGATCGCATGTGTTTTCCCCATAGAGTTTTCTGCCTGCCTCCGAGTGTACGTCTCCCTCTCTTGGGCTTGCATTTTTTTCCGGCCGTTGCGACTATCGTATCTATTATCGAGAACCTAATAGCCCGGGGTATGGAGGAAGAGTTCGGAGACATAAGGGAACGAAAAGGAATGATGGAGCTCGAACCCAGGGCCTCCAGGTTGCCGGTTGAGTGTGCTACAATTGCACCAACGAACCCACGCCGTTCGGTGATATCTCTTCATGCCATCCCTAACATAACAACGGGAAGGGGAGAGAGACATTATACGCACATCTCCCGCTCTATACTTAGAGGTGTCCGATACAAACTTTCTGCAGGGACGTGTAAAACGTCCCCGCGTATTACACTTGGGAGTCATCTTTCATCTCTGGAAGGTTGACTTCCTCACCGGGATGACATCTCCTCCCATATATTTATTGGGATCTCGACCCCTTTATCAATCGTAACCCCGTCCTCCCAAGGAGAGCGACTTCCGAGGGTGAAAACGATGGGATCCCACCTGTATGACACAGGAGCTCTTACTCTGGGATAGGAAAGTCGACTTCGGCGGCGTTGTAACCATACCGGTTTTCTATCCAAAATTTCTCGAGGCCCGGGGTTCAAGGTCTGGACGTAAACGACTCTAACTACTGTAACGAACCGAATGCTTCCGCTATGGCAATGCGGCGGGAACGTAGCAATATCAGCTGGAAAAAAATGTGTTCCAGATTCCGTACTAGTCTAACGAACTTTAGTACCTTTGACGAAGTGAACGTTGAAAGGCAAACTCAGGCTAAAAGAGGAGGAAGGGCGACCACTTTGTGCATAGTAGAGGTGTTGCCGAGTCTTGAAAGGACATGCATCCGTATTCAGTAGGGCTGATTCAATAATCCCGCGGTACCTTCTTTCTTCGCCATGCCAGTCAGGGAGCAGGCGTGTGGCAAGAGTGTCGCGACCATATCCCATGGCCATGCGCACATTCATTGCCTTTAAATACTTCAGTGCTTTTCCACAGGCTACCTTCATGTGCATTTTAAATCCCTTTGAGCCCACCGCCCGTCACCTCGACCAACTACGCGAATTTACTTAAGTAAATGGAACTGAAAATCTCGCTACATGACCATTACCAATCCCACGCCAATTTAGAGTACCTACGGAGTATTGCGCATACCAAGCAGAGACTAACTTTTTGGGGACGGGGGAATAAATTGAAATAGACTGACTCTGTTTTACCCGGAATGATCTATGCTGCGGAACTTGACAAAGTGACCCTGTGATGGTCACAGACACGTAGCACATGAGTGAAACGTGTTATAACAGGCAGTTGGCTTGTTAAGCATGGAGAAAGGTGGATTGTGGGAAGGTGTAGAGGATGAAAGAGTCACAGGAAATGAAAAGTGTCAATTATAAGTTTTTTTTAAGATTTCATTTATCGACAATAGAGGAAAAAAGGAAACCGGGCTATAATTGTTTTTCCGTCTCTCAACGGCAGTAGGTCTTGCACTTTCTCGGCGTAGTGTTACTAAGGAGCATTTACTTAAGGTTACGTCGTTTTGAGTTTAAGTTCAGTGGGAGCGGTCCTTATTCCGCTATTTGAAAGAGTGGGAGGAATTTGGTAAAGGAAATGCCAAACGGAGAAGCTGGTAAGGACGTGAACCAATAAAATCTGCTGCTTGGAATCGGCTAGAATGGTTACAACTCCTATGAGGCAACCACTCCTTAGATCATTTCCATGTGGAACCATGAGTGGTCGACTGGAAGGGTGACTCACCCACTGTTTATTGAAGTTCGATATAGGTTCGAATGAATGAGAAACTTCATTTAATCTAACATGAAAAAGGCTGAAGCCGCCCCAGGAACGCGGTAATGCGGGATTTGCGATAATGCAAATATAGAGATAGTAAGTTTATTTGGTAGGTGGAACTTTCCTGTCTACCATTGAGCCGAACACCAGCCTGAGAATGTGGAGACATTGTACCCATCTTGTGGGACTAAAATGTGCATTGTGTAGTATCGGATGGCTGTCGTAGCAGCTGGATTTCACATGCTTTTTCCCCTACAGGGACAACACTGTCCACGTCGTTCTGGAATAGCGGAGAGCCTAATGGTGGTACCGTGGAAAATTGCATCTCGATTTGGAGACCATTCAGCGGCAAGTGGATCGACTACTCCTGTCCTCAGCAGGAGTGGGTGCTCTGCGAAGTCCGCTGGCCCTAGACACTCCGCGTATAGTGAAAGTTCGATGATGCATCGATTTTACCCAATGTCCAAGAAGCATCTAAAACGACAATAATTTTCTGACATGCATTATTTAGGCGATGTACGTAGTCCGAGGATTTACAAATAAAATAACGCCTTGCGACCGTAATCTTTTCCTGGACGCTTCCTTTCCCGCAGAGAGAAATTCTAGAAGTACGGAAGTCAATTGTCTTTACAAATTGTATTGTGCCATCAAATCCGTTAGCTATTCGTCCAAATACAGGAATATGGAANTTCCTATAGAACCCTTCGAACCTCAGATTGCTCACTGCTGCTCTAAATGATCGTTTCTTTGTGCAACGGGATTTTCATCCCGTAAGGTTAACCTATTTAATCAAATATAGTCTACTGTGGTCCGTGGTGGTGGTGGTGGTGGTGGCCGTGGTCGGTGTTTGGTAGCACGAGCGCGCTCACATGACAGACGCGTGCGTTCAGCGCGATCGCATGTGTTTTCCCCATAGAGTTTTCTGCCTGCCTCCGAGTGTACGTCTCCCTCTCTTGGGCTTGCATTTTTTTCCCGGCCACTGCGATAATCGTATCTATTATTGAGAACCTAATAGCCCGGGGTATGGAGGAAGAGTTCGGAGACATAAGGGAACGAAAAGGAAACGATGGAGCTCGAACCCAGGGCCTCCAGGTTGCCGGTTGAGTGTGCTACAACTGCACCAACGAACCCACGCCGTTCGGTGATATCTCTTCATGCCATCCCTAACATAACAACGGGAAGGGGAGAGAGACATTATACGCACACCTCCCGCTCTATACTTAGAGGTGTCCGATACGAACTTTCTGCAGGGACGTGTAAAACGTCCCCGCGTATTACACTTGGGAGTCATCTTTCATCTCTGGAAGGATGACTTCCTCGCCGGGATGACATCTCCTCCCATATATTTATTGGGATCTCGACCCCTTTATCAATCGGAACCCCGTCCTCCCAAGGAGAGCGACTTCCGAGGGTGAAAACGATGGGATCCCACCTGTATGACACAGGAGCTCTTACTCTGGGATAGGAAAGTCGACTTCGGCGGCGTTGTAACCATACCGTTTTTCTATCCAAAATTTCTCGATCGGGCCCCAAGTTCCAGACCTGCATTTGCTGAGATTGATGACATTGCTTGGCTTACGAAGGCGATACCGTTACGCCGCCCTTGCATCGTTATAGTCGACCTTTTTTACACAAGGTCTAAGGCATGA